AAGAATTTGCTGAGCAGTTCCGCGTAATGACCGACGGATGGGTAACCAACTGCTATGCTCTGAAATAGATTCGTCGGCTATAATACAGGCTACTAAGAATCGCCAAACATCAAATGTTGTGTCACCCTTTTGAGGAGGTTCATCACCTGAAAATATGGGTAATTTAGGGGCTTCGTTATATGGAATACCGGTTACATTTCTATTTGGATTGATACCTCTTTCTGGCGACGAAGATTTTACGGTACCAGGTAAAGGCTGAGATCGTGAAAGTAGTTCTTGAAAACTGTTTAACCAAGACTGATTAACATTGGAGTACTTTCTAAATATTGCGGAGGTCGCCTATGCTTATTGAATTCCGCCTTAGTTAATACTACATATTGACTTTCTCGAAGTGTTTCAATCATATGCTGAATTTCATGCTCTTCAATGTCATCTAGTTTACCACCGGATGCCATTTTATGATTGTTTAAACTAATTTGGGTATTACGAAAGTTACAGATCAGTAAGGTTAATATGAGGATGCAAATATTAAATATACTAGTAAACATGAATAATACTGTATTTAAAGAATTGTCAAAGAATCAAGTAAATTGTCATCGCTACAACCTGAAAAAAAAACCCAATGAACCAACACAGCGCAAAATGTAAATGTAAACATACACCGAACACAACTACATGTAATCTCTATTTCAACCATTTGTTACCTTGATACTTGTGATGCAAGTGTAAAGTGCGGACTTAAATCTTAATCTTAATTATCAGATGTAACTGAAAAATGTAATTAACTACTGATAAAGACACAAATTTAAAGGGCCAATCCCGATAATATGATGGAGAATAAAACTGCTTAATATTGTGTTAGAATCCCTTAAAATGCTCTACATAATGGCTGTGCAACTAACTCAATACTTGTGATACGTTTTCAAACAACTTAAACCCGTCTGTCTTCATCTGGAAATGGAGACCGGTGTCCCAAGCTGTATTATGCATTATCTTGATAAAACCAGACTTTTATTTTATAAAAATGTGTAGGTGAAATTTACCTTTCCCTCTTAATAAAATTTATTAGCCAACTAATTAATGACATTTTGAACACAGTTCATGCCGGCGTTATGATTTCAAACATGAATTCAATTCACTATATTAATATAAATAGATGGTCGATCTGTGTCGAAATTATATTTATTTTAAAATGGCAAACGTTCAGGTTAATATTCGCTTTATCTCCAATAATCGAGGTGGCTGATATTTAATACACAATGGTTACAAGTTCAGTATAAAGTCAAGCAGACCTAATGCCGTCCATTGGAAATGTTCAACAAAAACTTGTCCAGCTACTGTAAACACCAAGAATGATGTTCTTACCACTGTTGGATCCGAACACAATCATCAACCAGATAATGTAAAGATTAAAGTTGATACGTTTTTATCATCCATGATGGATTTGGTAAAAACTGACCACAGACCAATGCCAAGTATTTATCAAGAACAAATAACTAGTAAGTAAATTGTGCCATTTAATCTTGAACCTTATTTCCAAACTGAAAATAAAATGTTTTGATATTATTTCTATTGAGTAAGTTCTATATGTCTATTTGTTTATATTGTTTCAGGTCTACGAACTGAGGAAGTTACTGAAGTTATACAGTCTGTGCCAACTTTTTATTCCATCCATTCCGCCTTATACCGCTCACGATCAAAAATTTTACCAACATTACCTAAAGAACGCCAGGACATAGAACTTACAGAATCATACCAAACTACAGCTAATGGTGACCGGTTCCTGCTTTTTACAGACAGAAATATTTGCAACAGATGAAAATCTACGATTTCTCGCTGGCAGTGATTCGTATTTTTGTGACGGAACATTTAGTATGTGCCCACAGCTTTTTTACCAGATATATACAATTCATTCAATGATAGATGGAAAAATGTATCCACTCGTGTATGCTTTGCTAGCAAATAAGCGACAGGATACCTACGAACAAATGTTTCAGATAATATTAGATAGATCCCGTAACATTGGTTTAAATTTGAACCCATCAACAATATTTACCGAATTTGAGACCGCAGCACAAAATGCCGCAAGGATTGTTTTTAATTCTGATGTTAAAGGGTGCATGTTTCATTTTCGCCAGGCCATTTGGAAAGCTGTTGTGGACTCCAGACATTATTCCAGGACAACCCTCTTATAAGTAGTGTTGAAACTACTATTTGGATATTCGTTAACGGATACAAAATAAGGGTTATCCAAATCATTTTACTATCCGTTTACTATTCGTTACAATATATTCTGACATCCTGTATGCTCTATCTCTATATTTAGCCATTTTTCCATCTGATTACTTTGAAATTTTCCCCAATGCAATTGATCACGTATGCAGCTCTGAGCATAAATGTCAACATTATGCGTATTATATAGTGATAGTAACTAATAAAATTATTAATGCAGTGCAACGAAAACAGTAGCCTAAATAAAAAAAATATTCATTCATTCCCTGCGCTAGTTTACGGCATACGAGTTTAGACCGTGTTTTGACTTCCCACAATGAAATTTATTCATAACGACCTAGGTCACGTATATTCCCACTTACTGATTGGTTCAATAGTAGTAGATTATTAGAATGAGGCAAACGACCTTGGCGGTATAAATGGCACATGTTTTTATTTTACTTTTTTCATTCGTGTTGATTGAGCAAAATGATAAGTGGGAGGGCACGAATAACAGGAGTAGTTATACTATACAAATTCCTTCACCTCATTGATTTTTTTGGATGTCATAGATAGTCTTAATAATTCTTCGCGGCACAAACAATTTGCAAATCGAAAGTACAATTTCATACTCGGCATACACAGACACTCATAAATATTGAAACAAGTAAGAAATTATGAGTACCGGTATATGAACTTTTGATGGAATTTCACGTCTCAGAATTATCCGAATAGTATTCGGATAGCCAACAAAAGGATTCGGATCACAAATCTCGATCCGATTTTCAACACTACTTATAAGACAATTTGTACGCCACGCATCAGCTTTGGCACTGATAAGAATGTGTGATATCGAGAATTTTTGGTTCTGTGCTTTGGAAGCTGTAGATTTAAAAATTCCACAAGTAGGGCGGTTTGCTGATTATATGACGGAGCAGTGGGTTGATAACAATGGCCGTAATGTGTGGAACCATTTTGATAAAACAGGGCCCCATACTACCAACCATGTAGAAGGTTGGCATTCTAAATTGAATAAAATGACGGCATGCCATCCTAATATTTACAAGTTCATTAACTTAATAAAACAAGAACAATCCTATGTCGAAATCACCATTTCACAGATATTATTTGGTGGTACCAAAAGGCCTCGAGTTAAGAAATATCGACAACTTGATACAAGAATTGAACATTTGAAAACCCAGTTATTAAATGGCTCTTTAAGTGTAAATCGGTATGGAACAAATATTTCCTATTTAGTGGGGCTGTAAAATGATTGTTATGTTGTAAGGCATTTATTTATAAATTATATAATGCTATTTAATAAAAGTTAAATGTGTAAATTGTAATGCATTTTTATATATGTAAATCATTTAATGTTATTTAATAAATATTAAATTTGTTAAAATCAATATATTTTTATATGTGTAAGCTATTTAATGTTATTTAATAAAAGTTAAATTTGTTAAAATCAATACAGTTTTAGTCTTAAAAAAGATATGGACTATATAGTTTATAACACCATTGTTCTAGGATTAACTCTGGATTAGTGGCAAAATTTGACATCAAAGCCTGCCGGCTAAGTGGGAACACCCCTTACATAAGTTATACATATTCAAGGTATAGATAGCAGGAATATAATTATATAATGATTCACAAAAGAAAAAAAATAATTAGCAAAAATTTGAAATAGTTAATGTAAATGACGCTGCATTTCTGTTAGTCCTGGAACCGCGTTGGGCACAAATTTATAGAGAGCTCTTGGTTTAAACGATTTGTAAACGCGAACAATAGAACTTACATCGAAAGAAGCACTTTCCAAGAAGAACATTGGTTTAATTCAGGAACAGTAGATCAGGAACCACCATTTTAAAATACGAAATGTGAATATCGCTAGCTTGTTGAGATGATCATTTACCATAATTTATATCATTTCACCATTAAAACGTTGGGCACCAACACGCCAAAGACTTGTAAGGTTCTTTATTCAGGTTACTCAAATATATGAACTTAAATGACCTGCAAAACAATTTACACCAAATGCAGATAAACAATATTACGGATAATAATATGCATAACACAAATGCACCACTTTAAATTAGAGCCGTTCATACTGTACTGTATACGAAAATAGATTGAACACGTCATACTTAAACTAATCAGCAACTGTAAAGCTATTGATGATAAATATATTGATTAAAAGATATAGTGGAGTGCAATTGAATATCCGTGCATTTCGCGGCTGGAGTTAATAACCAATCAAATCATTCAAACAAAATACGCTAGCGCAATATTAATATATCATGTAAGTATTAACCCTGCGACACATGCTTGTTTTAGTTTTATTTTGGATATAACATTGGTCATCATCATGAATACACATATTAATATTAACAAATATAGGATATGAAAACAAGCAAAAGTTTATTTATTCAAGTCATCTCCCTAGCATATACATGTAGGTATTTAACAATCTACAAGAGAAATGTTCAGCATGCACTACAAACTTTATTTTAGGCCTAATTTCTAAAGAAAAAAAAAGTACGCCCTTCTGGTGCCTGTGGGGACATAATGCAATTGCAACCCTTTGGTTTACTCGCAGATTCGGACATGCGGCCCTCAACATTTGCTGCCCCTTACTTTAGCAAAATTTCCTGTTACTTCAAAAGGCAGTTACATCCCTGTTAATGTGTCGTCTATTTATTTTGGGATTGTTGTAGCTAACATCAGCCTATAGACATTATTCTCCAACTATGAAAATCAATGCACTTAATTTATTACTCTCTTTTCAGTTTGGTTTAGACAACATAAAATGGAAAATGAAAATAAAATGGTAATAGATGAGTTGAATCCTTCAAATAGAAAACCATCTTGTGATAAAATTGACACGTGTACACTAGAAAATAGTAATGATTCTAGCAAAGAAAACACAACTCCTAAACAAGTATCCCTAAATGGTAATGCCGACTCTTGTGTGAAAATGGAGGCTAAAAGTGAAAAACAAACTTTTAACACAACCATTGAATCTAAAGGATGTGACGATGACCTAGATAACCTTATTAAAGATTCCAATAATTCTTCTAAGCCTGGTGAAATACATAATCCATGTGACACTTCTGTCAGTGATAACAAACATACTCCAGATTCATTGTCTGTGGATGTTAATTTGTCAGTGTCTCAACATGAAAATTGCAACGAAGATGTTGAAATAAACAAACTAACTACTGATAAATCCTTACATGGTGAAAAGATTAGAGTATGTAATGTTAAAACTAATGACCAGTCCAAGGCCTTATCTTCATCAGTAGAAGAAGAAATTCTTATTGAGTTACCAACAGCTGATAATTCTGTACAATCTGATTTAGAAGATAAAAAAGAGCAAGTACCAGATAAATTACTTGAAAACAAGTGGCACACTGCACAAAAACTAGAAAAAGAAAAGATTCAGTCAATTGAGAAGGTAATGGATGAACATGGAGATGAATTTATTATAACAATGAATGATTCAGATGACAGTGGTGAGGAAACCACTTCCCAATCAGAACAAAATACCAAACAAGAAACTGTGAAGTTGGACCGTCAAAGGATTGATGCTACCATGCCTTTAGCAAAACAAATATATGACCCCATTAAAGAGAAATCTGTTACTAATCCCCATAATCTTGGCAATGTCAGTATTAATCTACCCCCTCTTCCCCCATTACCTCAAGTTCAACAATTACCATTATTACTTCCCAATACTAATCAAAAGAACAAATCACTACCTTTGGTCAATCTCTATATACCTTCCTCCTTGGTCAATAGTACAACTAATATAGTAACTTCTAAGCAAATAAAAACTGTTAAGGCTCCAAATGTTACAGTTGTTCCGGCATTAACTGGTCAGCAATATACATGTAGTAACAGTCTTGATCTAAAACAAAGATTGAATACTGTTCATCAAACATCAAATTCAAGATCATTGCTTACTAATAGCTCGATAAGTAAACCACAAATAACCACGATATTGAATCAAAAATCTGGAGTAGCTTCACCGCAGTCAAGTAAGGAAATGATGAGCTTAATACGATGGGAAATAACTAATCGTGTTTATCATCGCCCAAAGTTTCAGCAGCTACAACCGGACAGTGAACTAGGACCTTTAGCGAAATTGTTATTTGACCTTGGTAATGACTTGGTTAGAGAAACTGTATATAATGACTTAGTTCGTATACAGACTTACAGGAAGGCAGCAGGAAAATTATCAGACAAAGAATCAGAAGATTTAAATAAATTGAAAGATGTTCAAGCAGAACTAAAAGACTTGGTAGGTCCAATAAAACAAAACTTAAAAAAAAAGTGTAGCTGTGGTTTTAGAACTGAATCGTCCAATGTATTGTATAATCATCAAGAATACCCCCACTGGAATGATAATGACTTGACATGTGCAATATGCCCCGATTATACAACTAGACAACCTGCAGCCTTTATTTATCATATGGAAGTCATGCATAATATGAGAGGAAGATTAGAAGATAAGCAACCATTCTGGACTTGTAATCTTTGTCCTTATGAAAACAATTCTAAAAGCAAACTAACACAACATAGATTCCGTTGTTTGAAAAACTTTAATCTGAAAACAAATCTCTCGCAAAACTCCATCATAGGGATGGAAGTTAACTTTTGTTTAGAGAATATTTTGTATAAGAGAAAGGAAACTATCAAACCCAGACTACCCGCACAGATAACTCCTGTAACTAATTCTCGTCCACAGTTGAACATAGCCCCCAAACCACGAATAGGGGCATTACAACAGGCTTCTGTTAGACACATGGGTAGTGGTAGTCAAATTGTTACCTTCAATAATAGACCAAATCTTTCTAATAAGATCAATACTTTAATTGATAAAAATAATCAACTCTTGTTACAGACTAAAACCCCAGCAGACAATTCAGGTTTTGAAGTTTGTGAAATATGTGGGGGTTATGTAAAAGATCGTAAAGCTCTGAGGATTCATTTCTATTATGCTCACCGGATTGAAATACCTGTTGGGGTGTTTGACAGAACTCAAGCTCCTCTATATTGTGCCACTTGTTTTGCTCGTTTCTGGACAGCTCAAGGTCTGCAAAAACATTTAGAAGTCCATAAAGTGAACAACCCAAGTAGTAGTGCTGCCAAATGTATTGTGTGTGGCCATAAAGTACCAAATGTTTTGATGCACATGAGAATAGTTCACAACAAAGAGTTAAATAGTTATCTTGCAGCGTGTAAATGTATCTTCTGTGGCTTAATTTGCAGCAGTAAAAGGGGAGTAGAAAGTCATATGGTAGCGGGCCATGGTGTTATGATCAAGGCTGATTCTCTAGTGGGACAAAATGCTCCTAAGGTACCAACCTCGAAACAAGACACCTCTCGTGGTAGCATGTGTGTACTTTGTAATCTCCACTTTTCTAGAAATGTAGATTTGACAAGACATTGTATGCGCGTTCACCATACTTGTATGAAATGTGGTATGGTTGTTGCTGATAAAATTTCACTAGATAAGCATACTTGTCTTAAATCCGGGAGAGGTTTGCGAAACTGTGAATTGTGTGATGAAAAAGGTTTCCACCCAGCTTATCATGTGAAACATATTCGTGATAGACACATTAAGAAGTGCACTGTAAATGTTGTTAAAGTGTCTGAAATTCTAAGAAGAGCTGCCCTGAACGGAGTAAATGTCCATAATTCTCACCATGAAGCAGATTTGAAGATTGCCAGTTCGATCAGATCAAAAATTGTAAGCATAAAACAAGTGGAAACTATTGAAATTATTTCTGATGATGAAAATTCCCCAAAGAAGATTTCAGGCATGAAAAGGTCACCTGAAGAGATAGAGTATATAGATACTGATAGTGACAGTCCAGAGGAAGTTGTAAACAATGCAGATAAAGCATATAGACCCAGCATTACTAAGAAAAAATGTATAGAAGAGAATTCTGTATTAAAAGATTTCAAAGATGGATCCGTACTACGACCTAGCAGAAGACGTTCCTCTACATCCACAGATTTAAAATCTTCAACTGAACAAGTAAAAGTTCAGGATTCCATGGCAGATAGAACTGTCAATACTGAAAATAAAGTGGAAGAGGGAGAAGAATCTATTAAAAGTGTAAAACGTCAAGCTGATGAATTAGGGGATGGGCCTGAGGCTAAGAAAGAAAAGTTAGACATCAACCACTATGCTGAATATTCTAACCTGTTGCCAGAAGAAAAATTAGATAATGGTTTGGCTGTTGATAAAACAGTCTAATAAGGCTAAAACCAATGTCTGTGTACAGATACTAGTAGCCCGGAGGCTCAGTGCGGGTGGCGTGGGGGAGGGCGTGTCCATCAAATGGGCACAAAACAAGACCCAGCTTTTCTAGCCTAAAATTTTGCGAAGAATATGATGTCGAGTGGTAATCAGTCCGCCGTTGGGGCGTATTCGAGGTATGTGGGTCAAAGGTCAAATGGGGTCATTTGCGCTGAAAATGATCGAAAGTAATCAACTTTTCAATAAGATTGTTAACTTACACCATAATAATAATTCACGTTTGTTCTTTGTGAACCCCGCCTACCAAAAGGTCAAATTTTCCGTATTTGCATTAGGAAGATTTAAAGCAATCAAATGTCAGTGTAAAATATAAAAAATATAGCACTAGCTGTATATTTACTTTGGAACATTGAGAAAGATCTTGCATAACAGAACCAAAACACTTCCAAACCCGTTTCAAAAATATGTAAAAACTGTCAAATCAAAATCTCTGATTTAGTTTCACAACGATTGCTATACATAATAAAACTAGTTGTGCGAAAAAACAATTGAATAGTGCCAAGACCCCCTAAAGATAAGTTTTAAATGGGTTTTTTTATTAATTAGAACCTGGTTTCGCTTTAGTTTCTATATTTTACACCAACATTTTATTTCTTTAAATCTTCGGAGTGCAAAAACGGAAAATCCGACCTTTTGTCCTCCAGGGTTAGAAAGAACAAAGGTGAATTTAGCAAGTTAACATTTTCATTGAAAGGTTGATTACTTTTTGATCATTTTCATCATGTTTTCATGATACATAAATGGCTGCACATTCACTTTCAGTGCAAATGATCTCATTTGAACTTTGACCCCAAATAACTCAAAAACGCCCAAATGGCGGAATGATTACCACTCGGCATCGCATTCTATGCAAAATTTTACTCTAGAAAAGTTGGGTCTGGTTTTGTGCCCATTTGATGGACACCCCCACCCCCATCCCAGCACTGAGGCTCCGATCTATAGTAACTCCATCTAGAAATATTATTGACCTCAATAGGGCTGCAACAATTCATCGATGAACCGCGATGTTTTAAAAATCGACGATACAATCTTTCACAAAAATAGACTGATATTCCTTTAAATGCGTAAATAAGTCCATGAGCAAAATAACTTTTTTTTACTTTCAGCGAGTGTTAAGGCGTTTTTTTCGACACATGAAGTGGCTTATTATAGCTATTTCGTCAACATTAAAATATCAGTCTGCTTAAGCAAGTCGTGCTGAAAATTAAGTTGTGTTCAAATTACACACTTGAATAATATGCGGGTGGGGGGGGGGGACATGACATTAATATATATTTATATATACGTCAGTAATATGCGATTTCTGATATTACTGTATAAGAATGGCTATTTGTACATACTGTATACATTGATCAGCACATATTTTCAATGTATATTAATATTTGTTATTAAAATCTTAACATTATTTCCTTTGATGTTCTGTAATCTATGACTGACCTGACAACCAGAAAGCTTTTAATTAGCTGAAATTGTTGTTGTAATTCAAGTCAACCAGCTAAAATGTCGTCATAATGAATTCACCAAATTCAAGTCCGCACGATCGACAAAAGCAATATTGAGATCAAATTCCTCATACCAAGTATATAAGTCATAAGTAAAAATATGGGAGTTTTTAGGATTTCCTGTTAAGAATGAGGCAATGAAATCCGTTCAGTTGACCAAGAAAACACTACATACAAAGTAAATAAAAAAAAAAGTAGACCTTCGAATTTTCACAATGAAAAACTTTCAAAATTTAACAGCATTTTTTAAATTTATTTCCTATATCGCGATATTAATCGTATCGTAGACTATGAATCGTGATGCGCATCGTATCGTTGCAGCCCTAATCCTCAGCCTTTCGTAGAATGCAGGGGACTATTAAAATGAGTTTGTCCGCCCATCGCACATTTTTGGACACAATAACTCTTTATTGAGCTTTTTCTGCTTAGAGTAATCATAAATAAGCAATTTGAATGGTTGATGCTTTGGGACACGATAACTTTAATTCTAATTATGGGAGAGTGACAAAATTTGGTGTATAGTTCCATATCAATACCTAGACCAAGTTGATAATGAGCATTTTCTGCCAGGGTAAGCAGAGCGGTAGTTAATTTGATTGGTCAAGACTTCGGAGCTAGATAACTTTGATTCTAATTGAGTTAGTGGTGAAACTTCGTGTATAATTTCATTACATCAATACCTTGACTAACATCGATGATGAGAATTTTCTGCTTGGGCTAAGTAGAGATAAGCAATTTGATGGGTCAAGACTTTTGAAACACAATAACTCTCCTTTTAATTGAGGTAGAATGTTCAAACTTGGTGTAGGTGTTTATTAGGTGAATACCCTGCCAATATACGGCCATGTGCATTTTTCATTAAAGATACGTTATGGGAGATTAGATAAAAAGTTGGCAGTTCTCACTATAATAAAGAACTAGATAATGTAATGTTCAGATCTACTCTGAACCGAGATTTTAGCAATTCGATTTTCGGCCTAGTCGGGATCAAAGTCGGTACGATGAAAAAACATAGTCTAGATTATCCATTTTTATACGCCCACATGGAATTGTGGTCGTATATTGCCGTCCGTCGTTCACAATTTCTTGTGAACAGACTACATTTATCATCTGATTGTTTTGAAATTGATATATGTTTGCATTAGTGAGATGAAGAAGTCTATTTAATTTCAATAACTTCCGTTAATTTCTTCTGGAGTTATGGCCCTTGTTTCACTTTGTTGCACCTTGTGAACGCTTTAACAACAAAAGTTATCAACCGATCTGTATGAAATTTATATGCTTTATTTAAATTAGTAAAACAAAGAAGCCTATTGAATTTCAGCCATTTCCGTTAATTACATCTAGAGTTATGGCCCTTGTTTCACTTTGTTGAATCTTGTGAACGCTCTAATGACAAAAGTTATTATCCGATCTGTATGAAATTTATATGCATCATTCAAATTAGTAAAACAAAGAATCCTGTTGAATTCAGCAATTTATGGCCCTTGTTTCACTTTGTTGAATCTTGTCAACGCTCTAATGACAAGTTATCATCCGACCTGTTTGAAATTGATATGCATCGTTTAAATTAGTGAAACGAAGAAGCCTATTGAATTTCAGCAATTTCCGTTAATTGCGCCGTGAGTTGTGGCCCTTGTTTCACTTTGTTGTTCCTTGTGAACTTCGAACGACAAAAGTTATCATCCGATCTGTATGAAATTTATATGCATTATTTGAATTAGTAAAACGAAAAAGCCTGAATTTGAACAATTTCAGTAGATTACTTCCAGAGTTACCGCCCTTGTTTTAGTTTTTAGAACCTTGTGAAACCTCAAACGAGGGTATAAATTGTCTATTAAATTCCCTTAATTACCTAAAAAAGAATAAATATGCGACAACCCTTGTCGACTGCTAGGACGATTTAGCTGCTGTACGCGCATGTTTTGTTGCCTGGCAACCTATCTTATAATTAAATTATGGATGAAAATAGAGCCTAAAATGAGACTGATGAAACTTCTTGTCTGGATTCATTATACCAACATCTTGACTAAGTTTGATGATAATTTCTTCTTAGGATACGTAGCAATAAGCAATGCATTGACGGTGTTCAATGATTAACATCCCCTAATGCTAAGCAGGGTTCAGCAGTTTCATAGGTCGATGATTTAGGACAAGATAACTTTGACTCTAACTGGTGGAGAGAGATGGAACTCTCACTACCCGGTATTTCGAAACCTTGACTTGAGTTCAATCCTGAACATTTTTCTGCTTAGATTAAACATACATTATGCAAGAGCTAAATCTGCCTATTGCAGGTCTTTCTTTAGGTCTGAAATGTTATCTAAATTGTTGGACATTAATTAACTTATCCAGACCATAGTCAACTCTCGGTGGCATCGCTAGTCTGCGATATTTACTGGATTAGGATCCGATTTGCTGCTTTGTTTTCATGGTTAAATCATGAAATGGATAATTGAGACAACGTTGTGTTTTATCGTACCGACTTTAGTAATGATGATCGAGGCTAGGCCGAAAATTCAATCGCTAAATTCTCGGTTCAGAGTGGATCAATTTGACTGAAATTTTCAACAAATACCCTTTACATTATCTAGTTGTTAACTATTATAGTGAGAACTGCCAGCTCTTTATCTAATCTCCCATAATGTATCTTTAAGTATACGATACTTTTCAAAAAGATTAATGTGCAATTATTTAGTATTGTCATCTATTATTTTGGAATTGCGGTGGGGGACATCAGACTCAATGTTGGCTTGTTTGATTTAAAGATAAGATGTTTGACACTGATATCAAGTAAAATTTGATGCAAACATTGATTCTGGCATCAGTAAATTTGCAGGTCAACGAAACTCGCTTTTGGAATTAAATTCCTTGTCCATGAATTATGCCAAAAACCTGATAGGTTTTGTAACTCGGTGTAATATAAAGGGCCGTTAAAAAATCACTTTATTAACCTAGCAGCAATAGAAAACAACTACCAGATTGTCGTGACGAAAGTCTACCTTCCTTGTGTTTGTATTGTATTCGATGAAAACGATCATTTTTATATCGTGGACGTATATTGTCGCCCCAGTCCGTATGTCCGTCCACAATTTGTGGACACTCTAGAGGTTATAATTTTTATATGATTTTGATAAAACTTAAAATGTATGAATATTACCCAAAGATCTCGATATCTTTCGATATTCACGCATGTTGAACCAAAACTTCTTGGATTATGGTCCCTGGTTGTACGAAACATCGCGTTAAGCTTGTGCATCCTCTAAAGGCCGCAATTTTTATCCGATTTTTAAAAAAAAACAACAAAAAAACGCTGAATTATATCACCGTTGTACCATAGTCACAGGGGAGTTCGAAATAGTGTATAAAAGTATGTAATACCAAGGTTGTGGACTCCCTAGAGTCGCAATATTATCCGATTTTGATAAGCTCTAGAGGCTAAAGTTAATATCCGATTAACTTTAAATGTATACAGTGTTTAAGCCCATGAGACGAAGAACCCTATTGATTTTCAACAATTTCCGATAATTAGTGCCAGAGTTATGGCCCTTGATCACTTTGAAAAATTATGTGGACGCTCCAAAGGCTAAAGTTAATATCCAATTGATATTAAATTTATACATACACATTTCGACGAAGAAGCCTAATGGCTTTCAACGATTTCCAAACATTAGTTCCAAAATAATGGCGCTTGATCACAATAGATATAAACCGCTAACACAAACCAGTTACAAATGGTTTGATTGGATCAATTAAAGCTCAAGTCAAAATGATGCATTTGATAATAAAATACGTTGATGTACAATATCTAAAATAAACCACCAACATTGTTTTATTATACGCCCACATTTTCTTGTGGACGTATATTGTCGTCGCCCCTGTCCGTCCGTCCACAATTTGTTTGTGGACTCTCTACAGGTCACAATTCTTTTCCGATTTTGACGAAACCTTGAAATATAGGTTTATCCTCAAAAGATCTTGCCTGCTTTCGATATTGGCATGTATCGGATCGAAACTTCATGGATTATGGCCCCTGTTTGTACAAAAAAAATCACGTTTTTAGCTTGTGGACCCTATAGAGGTCACAATTTTTATCCGATTTTGTTGAAACTTGAAATGTAAGTTTATAACCAAAAGATCTCAGTTCCTTTCGATATTCACGCATATCGGACCGTAACTTCCTGAATTATGGCCCCTGATTGTACAAAAAATCGCGTTTTTAGCTTGTGGAGCCTATAGAGGTCATAATTTTTATCCGATTTAAAAAAAAAAAAAAAACGTATATCACCGTTACACCATAATGAAGGTTGGGTTCGAATTTCGTGAAAATCGGACCAAAATTGCCGGACAAAATGGCCACCGCTTGTACGCGAATAGTGTAAAAATATGGTATATCAAGGTTGTGGACTCCATAGAGGTCGCAATTTTAATTCGATTATGATGAAACTTGAAATGCATGTTTATAACCTAAAGATCTTGGTTCCTTTCGATATTGTCGCATATCGGATGGTAACTTCCTGAATTATGTCCCCTGATTATACGAAGGTCACAGTTATTATCTGATTTTAAAAATCGTTTGAATATATCACCGTAACACCATAATAAAGGTTGAGTTCAAATTTCCTGAAAATCAAACCAAAACTGCCGGACAAAATGGCCGCCGCTTGTACGCGAAAGGTGTAAAAATATGGTATATCAAGTTTGTGGACCCTGTAGAGGTTACAATTTTAATGCGTGTTTTTAACCCAAAGATCTTGGTTCCTTTCGATATTTGCGCATATCGAATTATAAACTCATGAATTATGGCCCTTGATTGTAGGAAAAATCACTTTCTTTTTAGCTTGTTCTCTATCCATCTCGCAAAAATGTGGCGTATCTTGCCTGGCAGCCACTGGTCCAACATTTCGTCAGTAAAAATACTAACTTCAGAGATGAAGTTGATATTTTACTGACGAAACGTTTGGATTATAAATTCGTCACCCTGTCAGTCGATCTGGTCAACAATTGTCTTGTGAACGCGATAGGGGCTAGAGTTTTGTCGGATTCTTTTCAATTTTGGTGTGAAGCATTGTGGTAATGACAGGATAAACCCCGCAAATTTTTGTTTCGGACTTATGCCCCGTTTTCCAAAAAGCTTGTGAACGCGATAGTCTATCGTTTTCGACAGATTCTTTTCAAATTTGTTGTAAAGCATTGTAGACATGAGAGAACGAACCCTATTGATTTTCAGCGTTCTACAACTTTCTGTTCATAATTCTCTGCCCTTTACCGAAAACCTTATAAACGTGATAAAGGCTAGATTTTTACGTATTCTGTTTAAATTTGGTGCGAAGCTTGGGGTCATGAGAGGATGAACTCTATCGATATTTAGCGATCTGCGATTTTCCTTTTCAGAGTTAATCCCCCCCCCCCCTTTCATTTTCTGATCATTTTGAATTTTATATATGTTTACATTAGTGAGACGAAGAAGGTTATCTAATTACATACTTGTTTCACTTTGTCACCCTATCTACATTAAATGTATATGTATTAGATTAGTACAACAAAGAAGCCTTTTGAATTTCAGCAATTTCCATTAATTACTTCTAGAGTTATGGTCCTTGTCAATGCTCTAACGACCAAAAAGTTATTGTCCTATCTCTATTAAATTTATATGCATTATTTAGATAAGTAAAACGAAGAAGCCCATTAGTTTTCAGCAATTTCCGTTAATTAATTATAGAGTTATGGTCCTTGTTTCAGTTTGTAGAGCCCCGTGAACGCTTTAGCAACTCGTTATCATCCGATAAGTATTAAATTTACATGTATTATTTAAAATAATAAAACCAAAAAGCCTATTGAATTTCAACAATTTCCGTTTAAAACTTCTAGAGTTACAGCCCATCTTTAACTTTGTTGAACCCTTTGTTAACTCTCTAATGACAAAAAAGTTACTCCAAAAGTTATTATCCGATTGTTTTAAAATTGATATATGTGGTTTACATTAGTGAGATGACGAAGCCTATTTAATTTCTGTTCATTACTTCTAGAGTTATGACCCTTGTTTCACTTTGTTAACCCTTGTGAACGCTATTACGACAGAAGTTATCCGATCTTTGTGAAATTTATATGCATTATTTAAATTAATGAAACGAAGAAGCCTAATGAATTTCAGCAATTTCCGTTTATTACGTCTAGAGTTATGGCCCTTGTTTCACTTTATTGAACCTTGTGAACGCTCTAACGCCAAAAGTTATCACCCGATCTTTGTGAAATTTATATGCATGATTTAAATTAGTGAAACGAAGAATCCTGTTGAACTTCAGCAATTTCCTTCAATTACTTCTAGAGTTATGGCTCTTGTTTCACTTTGTTGCACCTTGGGAACGCTCTAACATCAAAAGTTACCTGCTGATCTATATGAAATTTACATGCGTCGTTTAAATTAGTAAATACTATTATGTCCATTTATATAGCGCCAAATCCACAAATCATTCTCGTAGCGCATGCAACAAAGAGGAGAATCCTATTGAATTTCTGTTATTTCTAGAGTTATGGCCGTTCTTTCACCATGTTGCACTTTGTGAACGCTTTAACCTCTAAATTCTAAAGTTGTCTGTCGATCTGTATGAAATTTATGCGTGCCTAAAGTTAGTAAAAAGAACAATCCTATTGAATTTCAGCAATTTATGTTTATTACGTTTCACATTACTGTCCCCCGACTTTCGAAGAAAGCAGGGGACTATTGAAGGACGATATTGGTGTCAGTCATTATAAAATATGTGGTAGAGTTCGTTAAATACATCCCAAATATAATTTTAACACAGAGATCATTGCTACGATAGCTGAGTAACAAGCACGGGAAGTGACGTCAAACATGACAAACACGAGTTGTCCTTCTATATAACAGACTGAAGTAACGAGCGGTAACAGACAAACGATCTAATTTCATTTCACTGATAATTCAGTTGAACATGAAAAGTTGTTATGAGACGATGAGAGGATTTCCGACAATTCAAAAAAAGAATTGGCTGTCAGTAGATAAAAGATAACGAACAAATTAGAAAAAGTCCGTGCATTACCATGTTTTTATTAAGAACAGAATGAATAAAATCGGGGGAATGCACGGGATTTTTATACGCCCACATTGAAATGTGGTCGTATATTGTCGTCGCCCCCGTCTGTCCGTCGTCCACAATTGCTTGTGGACGCTCTAGAGGCTAAAGTTAATATCTGATTGACTTTGAATTTATACACAGTGTTTAAGGTCTTGAGACGAAGAAGCCTATTAATTTTCAGCGATTTCTGATAATTACTGCCAGAGTTATGGCCCTTGATCACTTTGAAAAATCTTGTGGACGCTCTAGAGGCCAAAGTTAATATCCAATTGACCTTAAATTTATACACAGTGTTTGAGGTCACGAGACAAAGATTCCTATTGATTTTCAACGATTTCCGATAATTACTGCCAAAGTTATGGCCCTTGATCAGTTTACAAAATCGCCCTTGATCACTTTGCAAAATCTTGTGATGCTCTAAAGGCTAAAGTTATAATCCGATTGACTTCAGATTGATACACAGAGTTTAAGATCTTGAGACGAACAAGTATATTGATTTTCAATGAATTTTTATGACTTGAACAGTTAAATCCATGATATTAAAAGCTTTGCATACAAAATGTTTGCATTGGGCAGAACTTTATAAAAACCAAACAAATTCTAATAGTTTTCTGATAATAACTTCGTGAGTTGTTGCTCTTAGTCAGATTTTAGTGTATTATAAATGTTTCATTACCGAAAAAAGTAAAAATATGTGACAACCCTTGTTGACTGCCCGGACGATTTAGTTGCTGTGGGCGTATGTTTCGTTGCCTGGCAACCTATCTTTCTATTTTTCTTCGTGCCCCTTATCTAGTGACAGCCAATTCTATTTTTATACGCCCACATTGAAATGTGGTCGTATATTGTCGTCGCCCCCGTCCGTCCGTCGTCCACAATTGCTTGTGGACGCTCTAGAGGCTAAAGTTAATATCCGATTGACTTTAAATTTATATACAGTGTTTAAGGCCATGAGACGAAGAATCCTATTTATATTCAGCGATTTCCGATAATTACTGCCAGAGTTAAGGCCCTTGATCACTTCAAAAAATCTTGTGGACGCTCTAGAGGCGAAAGTTAGTATCCGATTGACTTTAAATTTATACACAGTATTTAAGGTCATGAGACGAAGAAGCCTATTCATTTTCAGCGATTTCCGATAATTACTGCCAGAGTTATGGCCCTTGTTCACTTCAAAAAATAATGTGGACGCTCTAGAGGCCAAAGTTAAGATCCGATTGACTTTAAATTTATACACGGTGTTTAAGGCCATGAGATGAAGAAGCCTTTTCATTTTCAGCGATTTCCGATAATTACTGCCAGAGTTATGGCCCTTGATCACTTCAAAAAATCTTGTGAACGCTCTAGAGGCGAAAGTTAATATCAGATTGACTTTAAATTTATACACAGTGTTTAAGGTCATGAGACGAAGAATCCTATTGATTTTCAGCGATTTCTGATAATTACTGCCAGAGTTATGGCTCTTGATTACTTCAAAAAAATCTTGTGGACTCTCTAGAGGCCAAAGTTAATATCCTATTGACTTTAAATTTATACACAGAGCTTAAGGTCATGAGACGAAGAATCCTATTGATTTTCAGCAATTTACGATAATTACTGCCAGAGTTATGGCCCTTGATCACTTTGAAAAATCTTGTGGACGCTCTAGAGGCCAAAGTTAATATCCGATTGACTTTAAATTTATACACATGGTTAACGGTCATGAGACGAAGATGTCTATTTATTTTCAGTGATTATCGATAATTACTTCCAGAGTTATGGCCCTTGATCACTTCCAAAAAACCTGTGGATGCTCTAAAGGCTAAAGTTAATATCTGATTGACTTTAAATTTTTAAACAGTGTTTGAGGTCACGAGGCAAAGAATCCTATTGATTTTCAAAGATTTCTTATAATTACTGCCAAAGTTATGGCCCTTGATCACTTTGAAAAATCTTGTGGACACTCTATAGGCCAAAGTTAATATCCGATTGACTTCAGATTGATACACAGAGTGTAAGATCTTGAGACGAACAAGTATATTGATTTTCAATGAATTTTTATGACTTGGAACAGCTAAATCCATGATACAGTATTAAAAGTTTTGTATACAAAACGTTAGCATGGGGCAGAACTTTATAAAAACCAAATAAATTCTAATGGTTTTCTGAGTTGTTGCTCTTAATCAGATTTTAGTGTATTATAAATGTTTCATTACCGAAAAAAGTAAAAATATGCGACAACTCTTGTTGACTGCCCGGACGATTTAGCTGCTGTGGGCGTATGTTTCGTTGCCTGACAACCTATCTTTGAATTGTGCGATACCCTCTCACCGTCCCATATAATAACTTTTCCACTTCAACGGAATTATCAGTGAAATGAAATTCGATCGTTTGTCTGTTACCGCTCGTTACTTCAGTCTGTTATATAGACGGACAACTCGTGTTTGTCATGTTTGACGTCGCTTCCCGTTTCTTCACGTGCTTGTTACTCAGCTATCGTAGCAATGATCTCTGTTTTAAAATTATATTTGGGATGCATTTAACGAGCTCTATCACATATTTTATAATGACTGACACCAATAGTGTCCTTTAAAATGGGTTCGTCCGTCTGTCCGTCACACTTTTTGTGACACAATAACTCTTTCTAATTGAGATAGAATGTACAAACTTGGTGTAGGTGTTTATTAGGTCAATACCTTAATGGAGTTCGAAGATGAGCATTTTCTGCTTAGGGTAAGCAGAGATAAGCAATTTGATTGGTTGATGCTTTCAGGCACGATAACTTTAGTTTTAATTACGTGAGAGTGATGCAACTTGGTGTACAGTTTCATTACACCAATACCTTGAATAAGTTCGATAATGAGTATTTTTTTGCTCAGGTTAAGCAGAGCGATAAGCAATCTGATTGGCAGAGACTTTGGAACACAAGAACTCTCCTAATTGAGGTAGAATGTTCAAACTTGGTGTAGGCATTCATTAGGTGAATCCTTTGATGGAGTTCGATGATTAACTTTTCGGGCTAAAGCTAAGCAGAGCTAATCACTTTCATTGGTAGATGCTTTGGGGCAAGATAATCTTGATTCTATCTGTTAGGGTTAGGGTTAGAGTGATGAAACTTGGTGTATAGTTTGATTGCTCGATACTTTTGAAAAAAAATAAATGTGCGATTAATTAATGTCATCTAGTTATTTTGGGATTTCGGCGGGTGACATCAGCCTCACTGTTGGCTTGTTGAACCTTGTGAACGCTCTAACGCCGAAAGTTATCATCCGATCTTTGTGAAATTTATATGCATTATTTAAATTAGTGAAACCATGAAGCCTGTTGAACTTCAGCAATTTGCAATAATTACTTCTAGAAATATGGGGCTTGTTGCACTTTGTTCAACTTTGTTAATGCTCGATTGATGAAAGTTATCATCCGATATGTATGAAATTTATATGCATCATTTAAATTTGTGAAACAGGTTTAGGGAATTTCAGCAATTTCCGTCAATGTCTAGAGTTATGGCCCATGTTTTACTTAGTGAACTTTTGAATGACAAAAGTGATTATCCGATCTGTATAAAATTTATATGCATTATTTCAATTAGTAAAAACAAAAAGCCTGTCAAATTTCAACAATTTCTGTAGGCTACATCCAGAGTTGGGACTGTTGTTTCAGTTTGTAGAACCTTGTGAGCCCTCAAACGACAAAAATTATAATCTGATCTGTATGGAACAGTCTTGTAAAGGCCCCCAATTACCTAAAAAGGAATAACTATGCGACAACCCTTGTCGACCGCTTGGACGATTTAGCTTCTGTGGGCGTATGTTGGGTTGCTTGGCAACTTATCTTTTTTGGGGTTTTTTAAAGCTTGGTCCCTGTCCATTCCATCTCTTGCAAAATCTGGACGTGTCTTGCCTGGCAACCGCTGGTTTTTCTCTTTCTGACTGTTCGATGCATCGCTGTATGGCAAGTAGGCTGGTGATTGTTTTGTCGGCTAGTGCATCGATAAATGATAACTGTACTAGTCATCATACTATTACTTTCACGTCACATGATTAAACATGGCGGCGACCATGTCTTCAAGCATTCACGTGACTTCCCAATATGAGCGGTGATTGGCGAATGAATTCTACTTTCGGACGAATGCTTCGGTGAAGCGGACTCTCTAGGCGAAAATAATGCAGCCGAATATATCAAACATGTTTGATTCGGGCGAATAGAAATTCGACCGAATGACGGTGGACATATTAGGCGAATTTCGACGCAGATTGATTTGATATGCTGTTACTTAGCTGGTATATATTTGATAGTCAATAAACAGTTTTATATTCAAATAATTGTAAAGTGCGTCTGAAAACGAGGTGCCCATTTTTGAAGTTTATAATTATCGTAAAAGTTTGTGTCGTATAAGGTTGCCTAATATGTTAAGTGTAAATAAGTAATTAGTGGCATGAATACCTTAAGTATATTGTTACGCATGTATAATGTTCTGTGTTTGTTATAATTGCTAGGAATCAATAGGTAGACTTATTATATATAACAATATGTGATTTTACTTGTCCGATCTTATGATATTTCTGATTTTTTAAACTATTAGTTATTATATTATACAAAATACAGTTAACCAGTATACAATGTATATTTTTTTTGTTGACTCGTATGATATTGATTATACTGTGTATGATAAAATGAATCATATAAGTACTTATTGGTAGCCACATCTACTATTCTGTTGTCACTTTTCATTTAAACATTTCTCTAAAAACAAACTGATGATACATTGTTTGTAAACTATTTGAGAAAACATTGTGCAGAGTTGAACCATTACATTTCTGCTTTCAGAATGGTAGATAATTTGAAATAATTGTTAATAACAATAAAGAAATGTGCATTATAAATTTAAGAGGACCAATCTTTGTTTTAAAGGATTTTGCAATTCTGGTGTCTGTTACAATACGCCCACATCACCTCAGTCCTTTGTCCACAATATCTTGTGAACACTCTACAGACTACAATTATTATACAACCTTTTCAAAGGGTCTGAAAGAATTTTTTTTTTTTTTTTTTTTTTTTTTTTTTTTTATATATATATATACTAAATTTATTATTATGGCCCGTGTCTCACTATCTTGAATCTTGTGAACTCTCTATCGACAAAAGTTATCATCCGATCTGTATGAAATTTAAATGTATTATTGAGATTAGTAAAACGAAGAAGTCTATTGAATTTAAAGGAGCTAAGTCGCTAATATTCGGGACCTAGAAATGGACACAGATGGGTCGCAACGCATAAAATAATGTAATATGAATGTATATAAACTGATTTACATTCAATTGTTTCTGTTTTACTGTAATTTCTAATCAGTTATGTTGTGCGAAATACGCCAGCAGTAGTCTCAATCGAATGGCAATCTCTAGCGTCTGGTTATTCCAGTCTACACCGGTCGTATTATTTGCGCATGCTCTTCAGATAAGAATATGGGTCACCTTTTGACATGAGTTGTGGAATATGTCTAGCCTCGTTCTTCGAGTCCCTTGTTACAAATGAGGCTGAAATGGTAAACTGTTTATTTTGTCTTAAATATTGGATATCAGAAGCCCATCTTTTCGCGGTAAGATCACAACATCAGTGTTGATCGTAATTGACAAATAATTCGTGTTTTCAAAGTCGAAGACTTGGATGATATCGAGTTCGAGAATTAGCTGCTTTAAGCAATTTCTGTTAATAACGTGTACAGTTATGATCCATGTTTGACTTTGTTGAACAATGTAAACATTCGGTCCGTTTGAAATTTGTCAGTATCTTGTCAATCTTCCTATTTCTTACCTAAAAAAGCATAAATATGTGACAATCCTTGTTGACGGCTCATACGATTTAGCTGCTGTTTGTCTATGTTTCCTGGGGGGGGGGGGGTGGCTTAGTGGTTAGCACGTTCGCGCTGTATCATTAAGTCTGTCATTGAGTCAACTGGCGTGGTTTCGAATCCCCGGTTGTACGTGACAAGGAGTACGGTCGCCTGTCCAACCTCGTGGGTTTTCTCCGGGTCCTCCGGTTTCCTCCCACTGCTCAAGACCCCTACGCGCAAGCGAATTATAGAAATAAAATTGAACCATGTGTTAGTCCCGAAATGACCTAGTTTGTGTCGAGTGGACGTTAAACCCCATTTCTCTCTCTCTCTCTATGTTTCCTTGCCTGGCAATCTATCTTTCTGTTATCTAATAGGCTGAAATCCCCGGATCCTGAAAAGGACCAAGTCCGCGAAAACAACATAATTAAAAGTTATAAAATATTTTGAAGCAAGCATCAAGCCATTCCACGAACCTAAACAATAACCCGCTCCAGTCCATGGCCTATAAAGATTTTCAACGATTTCCGATAATTACTACCTGAGTTAGAGCCATTGAGCACTTTGAAAAATCTGTTGGCCTCTAGAAACGAAGTCATCATCTAATTAGCTTAGTGTTTAAGGTCACAGAATGAATAATTCATACAGCGTTTAAGGTCACGTGACAAAAAAAAGCCTTTTGATTTTCAACGATTTCCAATAGTTACTGCTAGAGTTATGGCCCTTGATCACTTTGAAAAATCTTGTAGACACTATAGAAACCAAGTCATCATCAATTGACTTAGTGTTACAGGTTACAGAATGAAGAATCCTATTGATTTTCACGGCCATTGCTCACTGGACCAAAGTTTAAATTCATACAGTGTTTAAGCTAATGAGACAAAAAAGCTTTTTGATTTTCAACGATTTCTGATAATTACTGCCAAAGTTATGGCCCTTGGTCACTTTAAAAACTCTTGTTTACTCTCTATTGACAAAAGTTATCATCCGACCTACCAGGCGCGGATCCAGAGGAAGGGGGGGGGGGGTCCGTCCCCCCCCCCCCCCCTGCTCAGGCTTGAAAATTTGAAGGGTCCGAGAAACTTAAATCTAAAAGCCTGTATCTGACCCAAAAATTGCGAGTTTGTATACATTGAGTTGAGTCATGACTTTCATTCCATTGTGGGCAAAAACAAATAGTCACATACAGCTCTGGCAATTAGCCAAAAACGTCGACAGCATAAATTGCCGTCGGGACTAATTGACCCCACGGCAAATCGCCTATTGACGACGGCAATTTTGTAATACCGTATTGTATGAAAATTTATTGAAATTTAAAGAGTTTTATTAACGCTGTTCGCCTCTTGACGTTGAATATTGTTGTATTTGCATTTAATTTTATCGGCAGCGTTGATAAGAAAAAAAACCCTGGGCATTTATTTTATCAAATTTTAAAAAAAAATATGCTAGCGGGATTTATAAGATTTTTTAAAAATTTGATACATAACGTATTCACCGCTTATGTTTTATTATTATTATTTAATTATTATTATACCTGAAGAGAATGTCTTATTAGGTGAATTTGGAACATGCCCTTACCGCGAAACAGTGGAAGGTAGGCCTACTACAGCGATCGAGAGTGCAGGTAAAATACTTCCGACAGGTCGTCATTCATAAGACTTTTTTATACGCGCATTTAAAACAATTGCGGCGTGAGACGTAACCCCACGTGTGTTTAAAATCGGGTAATTAGAGATTAACAATAAACTAAATACATCATCAATCGATTTATTTAATTAGGCTAATTGTCAAGGATCCTAACCGTCAATTCCCTTCCTTTCGTTTCTCCTTTTTCTAGTACACCGAGCAACTATTGCAAGCTATATTATTTATTTTTATGCGCTGAAAGTAAAAGCAGTAAACCAAGTCTATAGACTTTTCGTCTGTGAAAGTTTGTGCTCTGGAAAACCCCGACCAACTTTCCTATAATTAAATGGACTGGTTACTCTAATAGTAAATTGATACTGCTAATAAAGCTTGTTAAGAACAACCATAATATGGTATCTGAAGATATTTTGTTCCTCACCTGTGAAGGGAGCATTCCCCATCAACATTTTAAGGACATTTTAGGCGATTTTATTGGCGATTTTTAAACCTGTAATTTTGGAATTTACCTTCCGGAAATACGTCAGAATGCACCAAATTGAATCTAATTTACCAAATTTTTCTGGGGGAGGGCCCCCCGTTACAACGTTTAGTTAAGCAATTATCCAACCTAGACCCCCCCCCCCCCCGCAAAAAATCCTGGATCCGCGCCAGCCTACTTGAAATTCATACAATGTTTAGGTCTTGCGACGAGGAATTCTATTGATTTTCAGCGATTCTAAATACTTAAACAACTAAATTCTAATATCTGATAATTACGTAAACAGTTGTTACTCTTAATCACTTTATAGTGTCGTGTAACTGCTTTCATTATTCGTCAAAAAAAAGTATATGCCACAATCCTTGTGGACTACTCGGGCGACTTTGCAACTGTGGGGATATGTTTCGTTGACTGACAACCTAACTTTTTAATTTTGTAATGGCCAAAGTAATTTGCAAATTGATCTGAAATTTATGCAGTATTGATATTCATGAGACGAAGGATCGTATTGCCATGATGCAAACAATTATCATCTGATTACCAGTACATTAGAAATAAATAGAATTTTAATTGTTTCGTGGATTGTGGTCGTATATTGTCATCCCCGTCGGTCCGGCTCTAAGATAGACGACAAAACTTTTCGGTACGTATAGCCAATGGTTACTATATCCACTTTACGGCAAGTTCACCCCAAAACGCTTTTCAATTTTTATACGCCCACATGGAAACGTGGTCGTATTTTGTCGTCGCCCCCGCCCGTCCGTCGTCCACAATTTCTTGTGAACGCTCTAACTCCAAAAGTTATTATTCGATTGTTTTAAAATTGATATTTGTGGTTAACATTAGTGAGATGAAGAATCCTTTTGAATTTCAACAATTTCCGTTAATTACGTCTAAAGTTATTGCCCTTGTTTCACTTTATTAAACCTTGTGGACGCTCTAACGCCAAAAGTTATCACCCAGTCTTTGAGAAATTTATATGTATGATTTAAATTAGTGAGACGAAGAAGCCTATTGAATTTCAATACTTTCTGTTCATTACGCCTGGAGTTATGGTCTTTGTTTCACTTTATTGAACCTTGTGAACGCTCTAACGCCAAACGTTATCATCCCATCTTTCTTAAATTTATATGCATTATTTAAATTAGTGAAACAAAGAAACCTATTGAATTTCAGCAATTTCCCTTTATTACGTCTAGAGTTATGGCCCTTGTTTCACTATATTGAACCTTGTGAACGCTCTAACGCCAAAAGTTATCACCTAATCTTTGAGAAATTTATATGCATGATTTAAATTAGTGAGACGAAGAAGCCTATTGAATTTCAATAATTTCTGTTCATTACGTCTAGAGTTATGGCCCTTGTTTCACTTTATTGAACCTTGTGAACGCTCTAACGCCAAACCTTATCATCCGATCTTGTATTTATATGCATTATTTAAATTAGTGAAACGAAGAAGCCTATTGAATTTAAGCAATTTCCGTTTATTACTTCTAGAGTTATGGCCCTTGTTTCACTTTATTGAACCTTATGAACACTCTAACATCAAAAGTTACCCGCCGATCTATATGAATTTTACATGCGTCATTTAAATTAGTAAAGGGAAGAATCCTATTGAATTTCAGCAATTTCCGTTTATTACTTCTAGAGTTATGGCCCTTGTTTCACTTTATGAACACTCTAACGCCGAAAGTTATCCGATCTTTGTGAAACTTATATGCATTATTTAAATTAGTGAAACCAGGAAGCCTATTGAATTTCAGCAATTTACAATAATTACTTCTAGAGTTATGGCCCTTGTTTCACTTTGTTCAACCTTGTTAATGCTCGTTTGATGAAAGTTATCATATGTATGAAATTTATATGCGTCATTTAAATTTGGGAAACCGAGGTCTATTGAATTTCAGCAATTTCCGTCAATAATTTCTAGAGTTATGACGATTGTGAACGTTTGAATGACAAAAGTGATCATCTGATCTGTATGAAATTTATATGCATTATTTAAAGTAGTAAAACGAAAAAGCCTGTCAAATTTCAACAATTTCTGTAGATTACTTCCAGAGTTGAGACCCTTGTTTCAGTTTGTAGAACCTTGTGAACCCTCAAACGGCAAAAAAATATAATCTGATCTGTATGGAACTGTCTTGTAAAAGCCCCCAATTATCTACAAAGGAATAATTATGCCACAACCCTTGTCGACCGCACCGTCGATTTAGCTGCTGTGGGCGTATGTTTCGTTGCCTGGCAACCTATCTTTCAATTACGACCTTAATCTGATTGTTTGGCTGGTGACTACACATAGTTTACATTATCTATACAATATATCACTGCCTGTACAATATATCACTGTCTATACACATCAG